AGAGAAACATAAAGGCACTCTGTTGTAAATGAATAAACCAGGTCACTTTATCCTGGTTGGGAAAGGCAGGAATTTTGATGTCCATAGATTGGAAGTGGGAAGGAAAGGGTAAAACACATAGAAACTGGAAGGGTGTCAGAGACAGATTTCACATCCTTCACAATTTTTCTGCAGCTTGGCTCTAAGCATTGTTATGACTCAACCTCTTTGTGCTTGGCAAGGCTCAAACAAGAATAGTTTCTTTTTGGTACCAAATCCGAACAGGGAGTCCCTGGCTGAATGTCAGATTCAGGTATTTCTGATAAATTTTGAATGGAGTTCTTTATTAGATCTTTTGATAAACAGAGTTTGTTTGAGTAAACCATGTACATTATTATAAAAATATTAATAGGCATATACTCCCACTCTGTTAGTATAACCATGAGTATCAAGAGTCTGGGTCACAATTCCCTGCCCAATCCTAAATGCCCACTTTCACCATCCTCTTCCAATCCTGTTATTTTCTTGGTTCCATGTTGGTCCTCAGTAGTTGCAGAGAATCCTTCATCTCTATTTATCATGTCTATCTCTTATCACCAGCACTTGATCTCTTCTATCCTGTGGGGGAGGGGAGTACTCTTTTCCTATGCATTCTATCAATGTTGAGGTATTACTAGTAAAAAATAATTTCTGCTTTTAATGGTGAAAGACCTATTAATGTAGTTGTTGCTTTTCTTTTCTCTAATAATAACTATCATTTATTGAGCCTTGCTATGTCTCAGGCACTTGTTATCAGTCCATTTCGTTCTCATACTTCTATACCTGTTTGATAGGTGGATTGTTCATATTGAGTATTTCTCCAAGATTTTCCAGCTAGGGTTGTCTCACTCAAGAATGGAGCTATAACCCCTGCACAAACCTTTCTTTTTTGCTTGATATTCATTTGCACATTCTTGGGACTAGCCAGGCTGCTGTGTGGTAGACAGGTTTCCTCCCTTGGTGGCAAACAATGATTCATTCTCATGACTTAGAGGACAAAGACCTAGTTTGTGGGGGAATCATTCACAAGATTATTACCCCAGGAAATTCAAATATACCCTCTTTCTAGTTTCCTTTCTGTACCTTCATTTCAAATTATTCTTATAGTAGCTGCTAGCAGAATGAAAGGAATAATTACGTCTCCCGATTGGGGACTGAGGCTTATAAATCTTTAACTCTTTTGCACACTAACTTGTGAGTTGTACCTGAATGTATCAAACTAACTGACTATCTTTTTCAAAATCTATTTTTAGTTAACAATTTTAACTTAGTGAAGGCACTAAACCATTTACCTCCAACATAAAGATCAGGAGATGAATTTGTAATTTCTTTCCAAGATGTAATTTTAAAAAGGAACTTTGGCCTGGAAATCTGAAGCCCTGGTTCCCAATTCTGGATTTGCCAGTCATTAGCCTATAATGTTAGGCAATTCCACTTAATCTTGCTGAATCTGTTTTTTCATCTATAGAATACAAATAATGACATTTTCCTTGTGTAATTCACAGAGATGATATGGTAGGAATCTCATTATTAGGAAGCGCTTTGTAAATGCCAAAGTGCTCTACAAGCATAAGCCATTAGGCCAGATGAAGTGAAATGCTCAAAAGGTCACCAGCAAGAAGGAGACTTTCAGCAGGGCTGTACCAAGGGATTCACCAAGGATTGACTCAGGGGGAAAACTTGTGAATCTCGCAGTTGTTTTCCCTTTTCTTAGTCTTAAGGGTACACATTCAAACTGGGTCTCTAGCTGGATCCATGATGATCTTCAGCTCTCTGACTTCCAGGAAACCAGTGTTGGTTTTCATCAAAACTGAGTACCCCACAGCTGGAGGAGGAGTGGCATGTTGATTAAGTGATCTCTTGATACCAGTGAAGCTGGAAACCTGGGTAATGCTGGTTGGGTAAGCAGATTAAAAAGTAGAGAACTAATTGTATGCCACCTTGGTTATAAGCAGAGATACTGCAATGGAATGAGAGACAGGAGAAAAGGTGGGATGTAGATCCTGTATGAAGTTATGGGCACCTCAACTCATGAAAGTCAATCCCAAATTAGAAAAGAAGTTGCCTTCTAGGTGGTCCAGACAGCACTCAGCACAATGTGTGCTCATGCAATACAGTGTGATGGTGATAGTGACTGTCCTGGGTCTCCTTCTAACCTCTTTGGCTATGCAGGCTTTCCAGAGATATAAGCGTCTGCAAGCATCCAGTCCCCAGAAAGAAGATTGAAGGAAAGGATGTGGACGTTAATGGCAGGCCTGGGGCTCGGAACTTCTCCCCTCCCTCGCTCCCTCATCCCCAACCCCCATCCCCCGGCAGGCCTTCAGGCTCTGGAGACTGAAAGGGTTTCATTTCCGCCTGGCTGCAGGAACCACAAGTTCCAGACTAGGTCGGAATTGGAATAATCACAGTCAAAATACACCCAGATGCTCTCACACACCCAGACGCGCGCGCATCCCGGGGCCATGGGGCGCACGTGAGTCCACGCCCCGCGCACCCAGCCCTGCCTCTCACCAGAGCATTCTCGGCAGCTGCCACAGTAGCAGCCTCCTCCTCCTCCTTCCCCTCTTCTTTCTCCTACGGCCGCCGCCGTCGCCGCTGCTCTGTCTCCTTTACCCTCTCGTCTTCCTTCATCCCCCAGTTCCTGCTCCTCCTCCCATCCCCGGCGCCTCCTGCCTGGCCGCGAAAGGCAGAACCCTCAGCAGCGGCTCCCCCTCGCTCTCGCCGCGAAGAGGCTGGAACAGGTCTGTATTGGGGAAGCTTTGTTGCAGGCTGTTGGAGCGCGAGTGGCTCCAAGAGCCGCTGGGAGGGCACGAGGCCGAAGGGAGGGTAGATTATTTTTCAGTTTTTGGTCTTTTTCTATGAATAAATGGGGTGCGATGGAGAGAGAAGGCAGCTCGGTCCTTTTGCCAGTTCGCTGTCCCTCTCGCTTCATGGCGAGAGAATACCAAAGATGCCCAGACTCCTGCCCCCGCCCACCCCTAAAGCTCTTTTTCTTTGCACCCCCACTCCCCGCATCCACTTCCCAGAGCTGAGCTTTCTCTTCTACTGGGAGCTCATGATTGGGGCGGGGAGAGATGGATGGAATTGATCCAGCGGGGCACTTGGGTGCATGAGGCTTTGTTACATACAACAAAAACCAGTCCTCACCAGCTTCAGTTCGAGGCTAAGCTGAGGACTGCCGGTGGTATGGGGATGTGGGCCAGGCAGACTAGAGAAATGAGAGAATATGAGGGGGCACTCCCTGTGTGTGACAGGGCACACAGGAATGCAGTGGTGTGGGCCGCGGAGATGGTGCGGGTTTTGTGTGGGATTCAGTGAGTGTGAGTTGGAGTGCTGTGTGTGCGTGTGCGTCTGTGTGTGTGTGTGCGCGCGCGCGCGCGCGTGCGCGCGAGCGCGCGGACCATGGGGCTGGGCTACTCCTGGCATTGCATGTCCTTGGGTATCAACCCATGCCAAGCCAGATTGCAGTAATATGCACACGGATCAGGTCCACCCTGTTCTGCCCACATTGGAAGGGCCGTGATGGTTTCAAAGTAATGGAAATCCCCCCCAGCTGGGGCTGTTGCATAGGATATTACGTATGTGGAAATTTCTAGCGAGTTGACCAAGTCCTAATGGACATCGTTATTGTTCCCCCAAAGATGCTCAACTTTCTTAATGGATTTCCCTCTCTCAGCCAATGAGGAGCCAAAGCTCTTACAGTAATCCCTGCAGTAACAATCCCCTCTTTAATTAGTGGATCCTTATTTCTTTCTTTACTGCAGTGATGTTAGTGATGGGCTAGGATGCAGCTGTATGTTTGGAGAAAAAGAAACATACTAAATGCTCCTCTGTATTAGTTGTGGATTTGGTTTAGAGTTTTTTTTTTTTTTCTTAAACCATAAGGTGTGAATTGGTATGGTCCTTTTAAAACACTAAATCAGTAAAAATGAAGAAAACTGCAAAACCTTCTCTTTGACACTTTTATTTGTGGTTTTAATAAAGCATTGCTTTTTCGGGGTCCTAAATATACAGTTAAGTATAGTGATCATTCAAACGACCGACATTTATTAAACACCTGCTATGTGCCCATAGTAATGTTAAGTATTGAAAGTATAGAAATGAATAAATGAATAAAACATCATCTTAGCTCTCAGGGAGTGCACAGTCTGGTTGGCAAGATAGAGTGTGTAAACAGATAATTATACTAGAGTATGTAAACAGATAATTACACTAGAGTATGACAAGGGACAGGCAGGGTTCTGTGAGAACACAGAGGAGAGATGCATGGCTGGGGATGGGGGGTACCATCGAGAAAGGCTTCACAGGGGAAGTGACATTTGAGTGAGTCTTGAGGAATTAATTCACCAGGTGGTTAAGTTGAAGGAACAACATGTCTAAAGGCAGAGGGGTCATAGTTAAATAAGACTGCAGGGAGTCCTCAGAATTATTACTGTCACATTCTCAACCAACTCAAAATGAATCTCCCTGGACTAGGATGGTGGTTAATGGTAAATCCAAAAAGAGCCAGTATTGAAGATTGATAAGGATCAGAATGCATCCCCATCTTAAGAAATGTATAGCTTATTTATTAATATTAGTGTGTTTTGCTTAAAGCAAAACACATATTTATTAATATTAATTAATATTAGTGTGTTTTGCTTAAAGCAAAACACATATGGTATGTGTAAGTATGGATTTAAAAGGCAAATGAACTAGATGGACAGTATTCACAATGCAGAGTTTATTGCTTTACAAAAGGGTTCATAATCAGATCATCTTAAATAACAGTGCCCCCTGACATTTACCGTGAATATTTTTACCAAAAATCTATTTACACAGAATTTTTAGCTAGTGGATGGCATGCCAACGAAAGATATACTTGTATTACATTTATATTTTGCACAAAAAAATTACCATTTTAATGGAGGAATTTTCCCTCACAGTGTGGAAATTTAATAAATACTATAAGAAAACATGAAAATAGCATTAAAATATTAAATCTATTGTTTGTGATCTTTCATATTTTGAATTGTGTGTAAAATACACATGAACCAGGACAGAGTCTTCAGGGACTTTTACATTTTAGGTACTTTTAGTAATGTCAGTGGTAATTAATAATAGCACAAGATTCCATGCTGTTTGTTAGTTTTGAAATGAATATATGATGACTAATATAATACTCATGCAATTAAGCCAGAACAGGGGCACATTCGGAGTCTCTTCTCTTTTTGTGTTGGTGCTGATTGCATGGGCTGATGAATAGCACTGGAAATGAACCCAAGAAATGGGTGATTTTTATTGGAAGTCCCTGGTGGGCACAAAATTATGCTAGTTGAGAGCATGTAAGCTCTGAGGGCTTGAACCAGGATCTTGAACATCTCCTCCCTTAAATTAAGACCAAAAATAGCCCTGGGTTCTATTTGAAAGTAATTCCAGCAGAAATAGTTGAGCTTGAATCAACTTCCTCCCTAGTCTGGCCAATGCCAGGCTGCAAAGGAAATGATGGCCTGGGGTCCTTTCGGCCCATCGAGATCCTTTATTCTCTGGCTGTCAATACCACAAGGTATCAGGCAATATTTCTAAGAAGCATCTCCACAGCTTGGATGGAGTAAAATTGATCTGTCTGCTATACCAATACCCAGATCAGTTTAGTGGCCAGACCAGTGCTACACAATGTGTGTTCCAAAAAAGGCTAGTTTCACAAGTGTTAGTAGGTGTTACGTGTATGTGCGTTCACGCAAACACACAGAGTTTTGTGGTCAAGTTTAATTTGGGAGATTCTTGCTTAAACAGAAGCAGGTTTATTTACTGCAGGGTTTTAGGGTAATGCATATTGTGACTCTCCAAGAGAATGGAATATACAGAATTTCCCAGATATATTTGCCCACAGTACTTGGTGTTCCATCAAGCATTTTGCTGGATTGATGTTGAAATGAACGTTCTTTTGGCAATGCTGGGCAAGAGAATTTCTTGCTGAGTTCAGAGGCTGTCAGTACCTTGCTGGGCAAACTTGATGACTTGCTTCACCCCTCTAGGCTTTCCTTCACCCAGGTGTAAAATGAGGTTGATAATAATCTTTGCTCTCACTGACGGATGCTGTAATGACAACTAAAATAATATCTCTGCAAGTATTTTGAGCTTCTTAGAAGAAAGACTCTATATAAATTCAAAGTTATTATGAAATGGAAGTGAAGAATTAAGGCAATTATCCTAATAATTCAGGCCCAAATCCTGTTTTTCTCTGTGTTTTTGGGCAGATTGCCTCAGCTTTCTGCTCTACTTTGACTGGAATGACCTATCCTCATTCAGCCGTGGGTGACTCAGTTCTCTGGGCTTATTTCCTTTCACATCCTAAAAATTACAGTGTGGCCTTTAATTTCCTGTTTCAGAGGTATCATCAGTATAGCCTCAAGAAAAATCCCATCAATCTGAACACACCCTGCTGACCAGAGAACCCTGGAGGTGAATTAAGTTTAGTTGGAAAGTTGCTTTTATCCTTCAGATTCATTCTTTTGCAGAAGCAGTTCTAAAAGGCCATCTTGGAAGATAACTGCTACAGGGCTCATCTCCAGTGCTCTCAAAGCCCAATCTGGGCTGGAACCCCATTTGCAGAAGAGGTATCTTGAGCACAGTTTTGGGGGTTCATTTTTCCAATAGGAAGGTGTGGCCACCTTTAAGGAAATTTAAAGGCACAAGAAACAACACTCGTGTGACTATTGACCCTTCTTGATTCCCTTGACTCTTCATTAATTCCCTCAACCTCTTTTCCTTACAAGGTACCTTGAAAGAAGAATTGAGTTCTTGAGAATAATCATTGCAAATTGGGTTTGGGGTAGAGACTGATATTCAGGCATTAGAGTTACTAGTTTTACAGTGCTCTGTACATGGACCAGTCATTCTCTGCAAGAAAGCAGCAAGCTTCATTTTCAGTGGGAAGGATTTAGGTTAGCCACAGAGAAAACTGTGTGATACTAAAAGGTGAGAGTGAAGTCATTCTCTGTTCTGGAAAGTTTAGTGGAAATTCCTGTCTAGTAGGGGAGATTTATAGAATGGTGGAGATAAAAGTATCTTTCAAAGTTTGTCTGCTGAAAATCTCTGTTTGGATGAGGAAAATGAGGACCAGAGAAGTGAAGTGAATTGCCTAAGGTCACACAGCTACCACATGACAGAACAGAAGTCATCCTAAAGGTTAGAACTAATATCTGCCATCTGCTAATGCTCTTTCTACTATAAATAGCTATCTTCTTGTGTAGTTCAGGGAGAGTGTGGATTGGCTCATTCACTGGGGCTTGGAGGTCATGTTTAGGCCTGAGTTATATGGGCTCTATGTGGCAGCTTTATCAGAGGGACAGGTTTCTAGTGGAGCCCTGGAAGGCCATACTTCCTCTCCCCACTCTCTCTCCATTCTTCTTGAGTATATAGTTGTCTGAATCACCAAGCTAAGCAGCCAGATGAAAACCTTAGGACTGGGTGTTCTGCCTAGATACTCAGTGGGTGATTTGATTATCCCAGTCCCTCTACCTTGATGGTTATTAACATTTTATGGACCAAATACCTCCTTGAAAGTCCAAAAATAGCTATTGATCCACTTTCCAAAGAAGGACTCACATCCACTAACATGTGCATGTAATTTCAGGGACATCTAGGTCAACCGCTCCTGCTCTGCTGGCTCTTGGTATTGGTATACAGCCTCAGGTAACTTATAGATGCTCCCTAAATACTAAAGATTTCCAGAGCTGGGATTGTTAATCTTAACTTG